TCCTTCCTTCCTTCCTTCCTTCCTTCCTTCCTTCCTTCCTTCCTTCCCTCTCCTCACCCTCTCTCCCTCCCTCCCTTCTTCCCTCCCTCCCTCTCTCTCTTCCTTCACACTCCTCCTCTCCTTCTCTCCCCCCTTCCTTTCTTCTTTCCTTTTTTTCTTTTTTGAGGCAGTATCTTATTCTGTAGTCTGGACTAGCCTCAAACCCGCCATCCTGCTGCCTCAGTCTACCTACTGCTGGGATTGCAGGCCAGCGTCACCACTCTGAGCTTGGCTGGACTTTTATTCCCATCATGAGCATGAGGACAAGGGACAATAAACAATGAACTGTGCTTTCCACTGCTGGAAAAGGACAGCGATGCTCCGGGTGGGGGCGGGAATAAAGTAGCCTTCTTTGTTTTCAAGGAGCTCGCAGTTTCTCGTGGGGAGCAGGCAGGTGAGTGGGGTGGACCCGCCTCACAAAGTCAAAGTAATAAAAATCAAAACAGGACAGGCGTGGCTTCTCCCCCACCTTAGGCTCTTGTGGAGAAGCCACCAGCACCCACTGCCGCCAGCACTCTTGCGTGGGTCCAGGACACACATGTGCATATATCCATCTATATGTATAAATGTACATGTAGAGACTGTACAGGCGGAGACTGTGTGTGCAGTTGTCTTTTTTAGCCTATAAACTGTGATTCTTTTATTTGCTTTGTGGACAAAGCGTCTTGGATTTTCGCTGATGTCATTACCTAAGCTGTTGTGACAGATTCAGAGGCCGGCTAGCCTCAGGTGCAATCCCAGCTCCACCGTGTACTCCGCGTGACTCCGAACAGTAGTGGCCAGTCTCAGCCTTTCCCGCCTCCCCCATCTCTCACTCTGTTTGTATGAATGTATGGTTTTTGTTTTTTTGAGACGAGGTCTTACTCTGAAGCCTAGACTAACCTTGAACTCGTGGCAATCCACCTGCCTTAGCGTCTCCAGCGCTAGGACATGAGGCACCACATCTAATTTTCCAGGTGTGTTTGTTGCTCTTGTCTCCAGGTTGATCTGGAACCCTTATTCTTCTTGCCTTAGCCTTCTATACAACGGAATTAATTACCTCACTGTTTCCAGTGAGTGATGTGTGTGTATTTAAGTAGCCAAAGGCTTTATTTTCTTTCTTGCTAATAATACCTGAGTGACAAGAATTGTTTACTATGGCTTCTTTCACCATTCACCCAGGGGACATTTGGGTAGATGTTGTTTCTTTCTGTTAGTTATCCATTTATTTAGCAATATTGTGGATCAAAACCAGGCCTCACACATGCTGAGCAAATGTTCTATTCCTAAACTATTCCTTAATTATTAGTAATTTAACAAGCATTATCAATAATTTAACAAAATTTAGTGATCATCCTAAACACATGTACCATGTGTGTCTTGTGTAAAGGTTTCTCTAGAAAAGTATGGAGAAATGGAAAACCCAGGATATTAAACACTCCAATTTAAATATTATTAGTCACTGCCAAATGATTTTTCTCTGAAGCCATTGTATTATATGGGGTCAGGAAGGGGCTGTGCCAATTTAATAAATGACAAAAGCCAGAACATAAAAATTTGCCTTCCCTGTGTATCTAGCTTCTCCATTTTTGCTTCTTTTCTTTCTCAAAACCAAAGAACTCATCAGAGAGACAGCTACCAAGGAACCTACCCACTTAGGGATGAATGGTCTAATTTTTTAGCCACCTAGAGGAATGGTGTGTGTGTGTGGGGGGTGACTGACAGGAGCAGCATGCCTTACCGACTTTGGCTCCATGACCAGCTCGTACTTCTTCCTGTAGTAGTACTCATTGACCGCACAGAATTCACAGCACTTACAGCAGGGGTAGACGCCGGACCTGCAGAAGGCGCTTGAGTATGTGTTGATGAGCAAGTCGATGAATACAGTGGCCTGTGGACCCAAACACTGAGCCAGTGAGACTTCTCCCGCCAAATCAACATTCTCTCTCTCTCTCTCTCTCTCTCTCTCTCTCTCTCTCTCTCTCTCT